TATATATATATATTGATAATTATAAACATGTTAGTTGGTGAATTCTCTGAAAGACCACTTTCACAAGTGGTCCATGGGTGCATCATCAGTTTTCACCCTTAGATACATCTAAATTAGTAGACCATAACACACCTTACCACACTGAATCTAAATTTCTGATTTTTTAATTGAATTTTTTTTAAAATTACCCAAAAAAACACGTGTTACAATGCACTAACGCAGCTGCTACTGACTTTCGGAATGGGCCGTTCTAAAATCAGAACGGGTCGTTCCAAATGAACAAATAACACATAAATATTGGATCAGAATGGGCCATTCCAGATGACAAAAAAACACATGAAGAATGGAACGGAACGGTCCGTTCCAAAATCAGAACGGCTCGTTCCGAATTCAAACAACACATGAATAATTAAAGCAGAACGGGCCGTTCTGAATTCAGAACGGCCCGTTCTAACTACAAATTTGTCATACGAATTTTTTTAAGCAAAATAATATTTTTTTTTCATTCTACTAAATTATATCTAAACCCTAAACCCTAAACCCTAAACCCAAAAAATCTTATACTAAGGTCCATAATACAAGACCAAACAATATAAACTCTTATACTACCAAATATATGAGAAAGGTGATCATCCATGTAAAGCCCAAGTAAAAAGAACCCTAGGCCCACCAAACCCATTGGGCTCACTGAGCTCAGAAGCAGTCAAAAGCCCAAAGGCACATGAAGTCCAAAACTAGGCCCAATAAGCTTAAAACCCAAAAAGTCTTATACTAAGGCCCATAATACAAAGACCAAATAATATAAATTATTATACTACCAAATATATGAGAAAGGTGATCATCCATGTAAGGACGTGGTCACGAAAAGCGGAGTGCTCCTCCATTTGGATGTAGCCCGCAGCACAGGCGCGGAGCTCGTCCATGTCGCGAGGAGCCTCACGACATAGGCTATCGACGAACGGTTCGGGCTTGAGTGCAATGAGCATGGCATGCAAGGCGACGTCAGGGTTTAAATTT